ATGTTTATAAAAGCCATTTTATGTAATGTTCACTTCTTTTTTCCAAGAAAAATTTACATACATGCCACTCAATTCTTATGTATTTATATATCTAATACCTTAACTTCAATTTTTTACATGTATCCAGTCTTATCCATGCATGAAAAGGCAATGATGTGAAAGTCGGATCGAACATCGAACCGGAATGAGAAGAGGCTCAAGGTTCGTCGCTTTAACCGGGGTTGAACCGAAGGTCGAACCGGATGACATAATGACCATAAAAACTATTTGGCCCGCTTCTCGCAAACCGGAACCGGTTCGCTGGCTCCCCGGTCAAACCGGCTATTTGAGGCTAGCTAAAGTGGTTTCTGAAGCGTTTTAATTAGATGCTTAAAGCAGACCATTGGCCGATTCACGATCAGATCGATTGAACCACCCGGCCCGGTTCAATTTTCAAAACATTGTGAAAGGTGTATTGCATTTTTTAATGGTTAAAATGACACTATTTTTAATGTTAAATGTATGATTTGTGGGGATCTGCATTCATAAGTTATTTGAACGTGTAGTCTAGGAAACTATGGCTTCACAATTTTGGCATTATTTAATAATTAAATTTTAATAAATTCAGTATTATTTAATTATTTTTTTAATACGAAAATCGCCAAGTGTCGCTTGCAGAAAATTATGTACTAAACAACTTAATTATTTTGAAGAATTGTTTTTATAATTATTATGCTGCCCACCAGACTATGGTTGTCAGGCTGTGGTCGCTAGGGTTCGGTCATCAGACTTTCGTCGACAGGTTTTTTTTCTCTGAGATTTGTGCAAATTATTTTTGAAATATGTATGTGCGTACGTACGTACGTACGTATGTATGTATGTATGTACGTACGTATGCATCTACGTACGTATGTATATATATATATATGAGTCGAGATGAGTAGGACGTTGATTGGATTTGGTTTATCATATTATAAGTTGTTCATGTTCGGCTAAGTCGAGTCTGGTTACATGACTTCAAGAGTTAAAGATGTAAGACATGAAAGAGAGCAAGAGAGACAGAGAGAGAAGTGTGCAACATTAAATAGTAAAATATTTAATCTATTTTATAAAATAATCTTCTATTTATAGGAGGGTATATTATATGTAGTTACATATTTACCCCTATTTTAATGGGGTCATTACATGATATTTTAGGTATTATATGTGTGTGGGCCTATGAGTCGGTTTGCCAAGTAGCCTTCGATTGAATTCAGGTCGGCAGGACTAGCTTGATTGGCTAGGCTTTGTCGATATACTGATCTAGTCTGCTGTCGACCCTCAATCCATAGTGTGAGGAGCGCATGTTGGCTGAGCGATGTTGGGCTATTGAGCAGAGTGTGAATCATCAAAACCTAATAGGTAGATCACTCCCGAACAAATGAGAGTTGGATGAATGATTTAGGTTTTTTATGACATAGTTACCTCTCGATTCTTAATAAGGAGCCTCTCTGGCATTTGTAGGATGATTGACGATGCTGAGGAGCTGAATCATTCATTGGGTTTGCTCTACCAAAAGGCGATCGTCGACTTCGATGGGATTTCATACGACAATTGGTTTTCATGTCGTCTGTCTTATTTTGGTTCGATAGGTTTGGGCTCAGACTATATTGACATCTTTAGTCTTGTTGACTTTAGCTCGGATGACTGCATCTAGTCTGCTTCCGTTTTGACTTTGTCTTTTGTTCGGATTGTTATGTTTAGTTAGATAAACTAAACTCCTGATCTTTTGCTTAGCTTTAGTTAACTTTTTTGTCTCCTAAACCATTGGATCTCCTCGACATTTGTGTCAGTGCATTCCCAATGCACATCATTAATAAATTTTCGAATAATGTGACTAAAAATCATAATAATATTTTATTAAAAATAGTAATTAAATACATTTTTCTATATAATTAAAATGAAAGATTTACATATATTATACATACCACTTAATTCCAATGTATATGCACATACAACACTTAAATATCAATTTTTGCATATATACATACATTTCACTTTTTAAATTTAAAATTGTCACATTTTTTATGTGATATAAAAGATTTGGATTGTATAAATAAAAAAAAATAAAGTTCATATGTTATGATATATGTGAATAAGTAAGCATTATGTGGTATATATGTAAATGTCAATAAAATTAAATATATATTTAAAAAAATGCAGTATATATATTAATTAAAATGAAAATTGGGGCTTTTACATTGATACCACCCAATTCCTATGTATTTATATATCTAACATCTGAACTTTATTTTTTTACGTACCGACAACCAAAATCTCATACCACATAAAAATATCACTATTTTAACTTTAGATGTTAGATATGTAAATATATAGGAATTGAGTGGTATATATGTAAATCTTCCTTCAAAATTCTAAAATAAAATTTTGAAAATTTTGAAAGTTTGATGTCGGTGGTTGTCGACTGTCGGGTGGCGTATAACATATTATTTATAAGATTTATGGCTCTTATTTCGGCAAGAGAATCGATAGGGCCGTCAATTATAATGTCAGAATTTTATCAATCATAGCCTTAAAATTTTAATATTTATTTATATATCATTCATTTAAGCAAAATTGACAGAATGGGCAAATATTTGATATGACAAATCTAGTTGGTATAAATGCAAAAAGGTCAATTTTAAATGTTATATGTATGTAAATACATAGAAAGTGGGTGGGTGGTATATGTTCTATGAAAATGTCTCGAATAATATAGGAGGATAATCGAGTGATAGCGGTCGGTCGATTCGTCAACCAAACCATGGGATGACTCGTTCAGATGCCGACAAACTCGGAGGCCGCGTAAACAGAGGGCAGAATGTTTGTCGATCGAGCGTTGAACGACCTAAACCCGATTCATTAGGGGGCAGCTGGTAGAGAGGATCAGAGATATGATTCCCATTTCACAATTTCTCTTTGGAACAAATATTACGTCCGGAGTCCGGTCGTAGAGATACGTCTGAAGTCCAATAAAATCACGCCACCTGAAGGTGACAAAAAATAAAAAAAAAATCTTTTTAGCACAAGGGAATATTCCCCCATGTTATTCCGCATTATTCATGTGTTGTTGTTGTGGTATTCATGTATTATTGTGTTCTGAGAATATTCCGGGTGTTATAATAACACAATAACACATCAATATTATCATAATAACACCTGAAAAAAACAGAATAATACGGAAGAATATTTCCATGTGTTACGGGCCGTCGGATCACAAGAAAACAAGTTTTTTTTTTTTTTTTTTTTTTTTTTTTTGTGATGACAATTTATTAGACTTCGGAGGGCGTGATTAATAAAAAAAACAATAAATAAAAGTACTTACGGTACTTGCCCCACTGCCGACATCCCATTTGCCGCCAGCTTAAGCATCGTGCATGAGGTTTTCCAGCCTAACCTTGGTCATTCCAAATTCAAAGCCATTCGATTGGGTTAAGATTCGTGCTATAAAAGGATTAGTGCTGTTGTGATGACTCTTGAATTCCTTAATGTTATATCTGATGAATGATTGTGATGCCAAATGTACTGCTTTTTCTATTCAAGAGCATCATCTCTTAACAAACCCAACCCTAAATAATTTCTAAATTGCAATCATTACATATTTTGAAAAAAAAAATTTAATTTTTAAACTTGCTATCATATATATATATATGAAAAAAAAATACTAATGCTTTGATCAAATTTGTAAACAAAAATTGTTTTAACAGTCCTGAGATTTATTTTAAAATAAATATTGATACATCACCAACAAATTTTCATCAATAATTATGAATTTCGAGGCATGACATGAATCTCGAGATAATATTTTGAGCAAGAAACATTCAAACTTCAATTAAAAGTCATCCAGAGCTCTAATTTCAGTAAACTTATAGTTAAATTGACTGACTTAATGAGACGAACCTAATGATACCAAAGTTAGTTCAATCTGAGTCAAATCAAATCCAGATCAAATGATTAAATCATTCTTGAAAGATTTCTGGACATATTTGAAAGATCAAATGAAAGTCGAATTCAACGAGTTTATAGTCGAATCAAGCGTCTCGACAAGACAAATCCAACGAGTTCAAGTTTGCTCAATTCCAACATCTTTAAGGCACTCAAATGTCCATCAAACGTCATCCGATCGAGGGAAATTC